TATGAGTGTGTGTGTGTGTGTGTTTATGTGTGGATATATACTTTTATTGTATATTCTTTATATATATATATATATATATGTATACCTATATGTGTGTGTGTGTGTACAACACATTCTCTACCATAACTTTATATATGGATGATGAGATCGAACCTCAGAGTATACAGCGCACTCTTCACAAAGATGAACAAGCAAAAAACTTCTTCGAATGTCCGGATTATATATGCAGCATTTTTATTGCAACCCTGCCGATTTCCTACAATTTGTACAATGGATGATGATGGTGATGTGAGCGGAATTTCGCTGGCGCTTATAGAAATATGTACACGATCTGATAGTTAAAATTGTTAAACGTATCATCTACGCTAGTCTAAAATCCTCATTCTTCGTACTTTGTCGACTATAGATACATGAAGTCGCTATCGCCACACTTCCTGTAACAGCCGCACCAAGCGCAAGTCCTGCATTGAATTGAATTGTATGGGAGTTGCATTAGAACAAGCAGCCTAAATATAACCATACTGCCCTAGGTAGGCGTGTTATTCGGTCAAGTCGGTAGAGCAAAATTTGATATCGTAATTTGCGTCACAAATTCACTCATAAATCATATTACAAATTATGTTTTTAACCAAGTACGAAATTATCAAACAAACGCAGTTCCACGCCACGGTTTACGTACACTTGCTGTACAAACTCACCCGCCACGAAAGAATAACCAGCATAAGCCTCGGCGCTATCGGCGAGATTGTCTACCCGCGTCTTCAAGGCATCTATATCCGTGTTCTTCACTAGTTCGATCCTCGGTGCTTGTACCTCTTCTGCCTCCATCTCTAGATCGGCCATCTACGCGTTCGGTAGAAATAAAGGCAATCAAAACGGTTGCGGAAGGAATACAAGATATGAGGCACAAGCGTCGATTGAATATAAAAAACAACCCGAACAAGAGAAGATCTAGTTAGAAACCGGTATAGATAATGGCAGATATTGCTTTTGGTTAAAAAAAATAGCAAAAGAAACCTCAATATCCAAGTCTTCAAGATCGGCAAATCGACGACGCATGTCACTGCCCATTGTATCGCTCTCTTCGGGGTAGGGCAACATAATATCAGATTCCATAGGTTCTTGAGCGTGCACAGCTGCAACGGCAACCAAAAGGATAGTGGCGTATTTGAACATCTTGACTTGTTATCAATATTGCTTCGGATTTGAATGGTGATTGCTTTCGATCTCGATTGCAGCGAAGTGAAATGTAGACTTATGTGGCACTATTCTTAAATATAATCGTTCACTCTTTGTCTTCGTCCAAGTTTTATAATGTGATCTCACTGGTCCATCAAAAAAAGCAAAGAGTGGCTAGGAAACACATCAGGCATGGCTGGCATGCACTGCAAATGTCATATCGAGCTTAAAAATCACTTTTGTGTGTTCCTAATAAGCAAACGCCCAAGATACGGACATTTCTGGGGAAAACTATAAATAATATAAAATACCGGTAAACTGAACTGCTTCTGGTATTTTAATTATTTCGGTCTTTTTTAATTTATTCATTAAGAAACTTACTTTAATACCACCAATGAAATCATAAAATATCAAAAGCTTGATCCTTATTTGGGTAAATTGTTATTTTAGGGGTGGTCTGAGACTTTTGAGACTAAGGCCGGTTTTGCTAACTTTGCAAAATATAGGGAAATAAATTTTGAGATGAGTAAAACATGTTACTCCGGTAACTAATTTCGGTATTTCTTAGCACAAATGGATTTTTGGTCAAGATTTCGGAATATTCAGAAAATATTGAGGATCGATTTCCGTAATTTTTCAGCACAATTATTTGAAATCGGATGTACTGACGGTTTTGGCAACATCAAATTCTGCTATTCGAGACGTAAAAAATACAACTCTCAATATATCGTTTTGTTTTATATTTCCTTCAAAGTACTCCGGTTGACATCCAAAACTCTGGCTCTGGTTATAATTCGTCAATCAAAACGCTGTCTTCAATTTTTCGGCTCCAGAACAGAATTTCTTGTGGGTCTGCGGCTCTGCGCATTTGCCAACTGGTAAAAAGGAATTGCTATGCGAATATTCGACAATATTTCAAATACAACTGGCAGCATATTTTGAAATTGTGTGGGAATATACAGTTCCAAAATTTCTCAAGAAAAATACCAAAATATACCTTTATATTTTTTAGGGCAATATTTTCTCTATATTTTCCAAAGTTAGCAAAACCGGCCGGAAGAGTTTGAGTCGTTGTGACTTTGAGACTTTGAGACTGAGTTCGTCTTCATTCTGTATTTTTTTTTAATGAACGCCTTGATATGCCATCATTGTCATTAGTCATTTACCATGTATATTTAGATTTTAGCCTCTTAAAATAGAACATGCGTATTTTGTTATAATAATATTTTTCGAAATATATTTTTTACTATTAAAATACTATGTATTTGACGTAGTTCCAAAATCCTAACCCTGATCCCGTGACATAAAATTCCTGTTCTGGAGAGTGGAGACTGTCCGATAGGCGATAATGGCAACTGGCAGGTGGCTGTGGGCCTGAGGCCTGTGGAGTGTGGGCTGTGTGGCTGTGTGTGGCCACTTAGTCCTATGACTCACATGAGTCACACATGCAGATTGTAAGCATGTGTCACCCGACAGAGAACTTGAGAAGGGCCAAGTCCCAGCAAGTTCTCCCCGCTCTTGTTACTTTGTGCCTGTGGCTACTGGTCACAAGTTGTGAGAAAACTCAAAACTCGATGAGTATAGAGTTTGGACTTCTGTTTGAAGTTTTGAACACTCGAAGAGTACTTTTTATTTTATTTATTTTAAAGTTGATGAACCTGGTATGGTGCTGTATAAATTTTCACTAATTATTTTCACAGCCGAAACGAAGGGAGTTCACCGTCACACCTTCGAATATCATACACCGCAGTGAATACTGAAGACACTTTAATAGGCAACTGAACTTCAAATGATGATCCTCTTTTTTTTTCTCAAGTTGAATGCTGACACAAATATGGTTTCCAGAGTAATTCTACTTTTATGATTGAACCTCATAGGATACTGGCCCGCTGCACTAATGTTTTACATTTCAAGACTGCCATCAGAACACATATCTTGCAATTGCATTGGTGTATGTTGGTGTATGACCGGGTTTGTAGAGCTAAATCTAACTCGCGTGGGATGTCCATGTATGTAGAAAAAAGCTGACTTGCAACGTCAAGGAAGATTTTCGTATTTGTTTTAGTTTTTGGGATTCCTCTAGACTTTGACACGCAGAAATAAATCGCACCTTAAAAGTTCCTAGCTGCGGTATACTATTGAAATTTACTGGCGCTTGATAGAGTTATGTAGAGATTAAAAAGCAATTTTCTTATCCTATGGGTATCTTGTTTTTAAATATTGTAATTACGTAATTACTCTTTACGAAATTTGGATACCAATATTACAAGAATGAAGCGAACAAACATCCACCATCTGAATAATTTAAAAAGAGATTACCATACCACGTTGTGCGCACGTAGTTCTGAAATTCCAGTGAATGCTTGGGCAGATAAACAGGGCAATGGACACTCTACAATGTCACGATGTTTATTTGAGTGATCTATATTTAGGACTAGAAGCAATAGCCCGGAATTGCGCATACAAAATGTATCCTGTGCTAAATATTGTAGACGATCGCTTCTGCAAGGACTCTACAGTGCAACGTATGAAGTATGTATAATAGATTTATTGTTATTTGTCAGCAATATTGACATCCCTTTGAAAATACATTGCGATCAACGTTGTGCAGCGCTGCAATCAGTTAGATGGCGTAACACAAAGATTTCGAGTATGAGCCAGAGTTGTATTACGGCGGATGCAGCTGGAATCAAGTAGTATGCAAGATCCTCTCTACCGTGTCTCTTTTTAATTTTGGTTTTCAACCCCGTGAATGAGATCACTGTAAACGAATCGAACTGAGCAAATCTTATGGATATGAAAAGTTCGTTTAAAAAACTAGTGTTCTGTGTCATAGTGGATACTCACTTGTTTCTACAAAATGAAGTGTCTGCTTGCAGACAACAATCCGTATTACAATTGAACTTCTTTAAAAAAAATATTGAAACAGCAGAGGCTGTGAGATAAATACACAAATAACTCTCACTCTTCAAATAATAGGTCGATACGATCACTTTTCTAAAACAGACTGTGCTTCGTAAATCATGTTATATAAATATATATATATATACATATATACCAAGATTTGAGTCCTTTTTCGATCGCAGATACAGTACGGTTCCATGAAAAATAAACAACACTGAATCTCTGCGAAAATGCGACTCAACGCTACCACGTGGCCTTTGTACTATAGATGTATTTTTGTACAAGAAAGGCAACCTTGTACAATCTACCAACCACCACATAAAAATTACGTATCCAGCGTATATGGTCGTCCAATCATCAATGGCTCAATGAGTCTTTCAGAGGTACAGATTGGCTCCGTATTTGGGTGAGTACAGTCAGACCGGTCTACATATACAATGATTAATCAGCTCCTACGCCAAATCATTCCTTTCGGGCCCGATGTGTACATAATCGACTTGTTCATTCCACAGTTATTTATTCATCATGAATGATTATACTCTATTGGTCACCATACAGGCCTCAGGAAATACTAATTCATCGTAGAAAGCTGTGGATTGTTCGTTTTGTTCGTTGTCTCTCGTTCCTATACAGGGAACCACACACCTGAGACATGCCATGCAAGTCAAACAGTACAATAGGGCTGTCGGATTTTTGGAATACTAGGTAGTAGACAACATGTTGGTGCATAGCATAATGTCAAAGCCATAGGACTACTAGGACATAATAAATACATCAATTATTCTCGTTTCCTGCTTGAAAGAGCCTCTGAATAAACAAAGAGTCGAGCTTCGGATAGGAGATACTGGTGGTTGATATGTCAGCATCTCCCCGTCTAGAAAACAGAACTTATCACTTAAAAAGAAACAACAATCGTACACGGATTGAAAACCAAATGTCTGCACACTTTCATTAGTTATAAAAGTACATTTATTAAGAATATTAATGTCATACAGTATTGATTAAACATGTAGGTGCAGCGTATAATCCCAAGGTTATAAGAACAACCAAGAAACAAAAAATGCATCGTTTAATATAGTTCCCCTCGAAATGAGGGGTTGGTAAATTTTGTCGCCAACACCTCGTATTTAAGTAGGGGGAACACACAATGGGATAACACAACACGAGCAATAGAGAAAATACAATGATCCTCTGTGTAAAAACTTAAAAGGCAACATAGTAATTTGGCAAAACGAGACGATATAACATGTTTATTAGGGTGAAAACTATATACATGCATACGGAAGCCGATACGAAATGTAGCAAATGCACCGTAGTCGCTGAGCTGTGAGATGGCAGCGGAGAAACAAAGAATGCAGAGCAATCAATATTGCCCCCCTCGAACGGAATCACCAGTGAATTTGGTTGCTAATGACTCTTCTTTTAAGGGGCTTAGAAAGTAACACTTCACATACGGAACAACAGAGAACATTGGAACAAAAGAAACTACTATTTACTTGCAGTTGGAAAACTTGATTTATTCAGAAGATTCATCCATATTGGTTGGCAAACACAACGACAAAAGTTCAACACCGACATACAGCCAGAAGATGATGTTTCAAAATACTAACTAATCCTACATACTCGCAGACCATCACTATTCGATTTCTATTTATTTAGAAATTTCTATTAAATGATCTCAACATTGAGGATACCTATATTTATATTCGTAAAAAGACAGGAAATTGAAATTTCAAGTTTGAAGCCGCCAGCCCACCACGCGTTATTTTTTTTCCTGCAGGCCTAAACCGGTTCAGTACCGGTTTGGTGCCGTAGTAGCAAAAGCTATAGGTTTTTCCAAATTGGTTAAAAAACCGGACTTGAAACCCCTATAGAAAACATAACCCAGTTAAAAAAACAAGACAGACACCGCGAGACACGGCCCAGTGCCTCCGGTCCACGACCCACGAGTCCACTCAGTCCACGACAAACAACACAAATATATATGTATATACATTATACGGTATAAATATATACCTGAGGGTATAGCTCACTTCTGACTGGAGTATGCTGTTCATAAACTTTCAACAATACTGTGATTGGTAAACATCACTTGAATTTCACTTCTCTCAACTCGGATTGATTGTATTAGATCGAGGGATCCGGCATTCAGCTCCGCATCCTGAATCCACAGTCATTTCACTCCTATCCAGTATCCAGCTAACCTCGCTTAAAAAAAGGTCGAATACGTTCATCGAATAACGCTTAACGGGTCAATTAAAACCGTAAGAACGTATATATATTCTATAATGGCCTAAAAAAATTGGTCAGCTGACCTAGATAGTTCACCTAAATACTACTATATGTTTAGCCACAAATGCTGTATAGAAAAATAAACGAGTGGGATTGAGGAAACACTTGGCGACGTGCTTGACCGCAGTTTGATCCCTTCTCATATATGCGTTAAACGTTCATCGTTTAGCGGGTAAAATTTGAACGTACTATCGTTATACGTTAGGAGGAGGCCGTTAGGCAGTAAATATACCCGATTCAACGTTTTAAAGAGGCCAATTTGTACCGGAGTAATCATAAATTCATAGAAAAGGGACGTTTTAAAATTAACCAATAACTTTTACATGGTCGGTATACAAATATTGCTATATAAAAAATATTAAACCCCGAAACCCCTCCTGTTTTATTTACTTAAAAATATTTATACTGAATGTAAAAAGTGTATATATTTTAAAAAAGGGGTAGGGCTGAGGCCTGAGGGCCTGAGGCCTGAGTCCGAGGGCTGTGATTTGCGATGGATTTGAGACTTTAAATTCTGAAGTCTGAACTTCTGTTGAATCGGGCCTAAGCCCTCAGGCCCGCAGCCCTGCCCTCATCAGCCTTAGGAGGTTCAGGACTTCAGGTCCTTAGCGGCTTACCCTCTCAACTCTCAAGACTCTCAAGGCTCAGGCCCTCAGGGCTCAGGGCTTATTTTACTCATAGGTTCGGGCCCTCGGCCTCAGGGCCTTTCAACTTCAAGCTCAATTTGAAGAAGAAAATGCGGTGAAACAAGGGTATTCCACAATCAATCAAAACCCCTTAATGTTAAATGAGAAATCAATAAGAGAATTGAGACATTTCTATTAGTTACCCGTCAAAACCGTGCAAAGAAGCTCTTTTTCTCTGTAAAGGTATCCATTCAAAACAGTCTAGGAGATATAATTTACTCTGGAAGTTGAAACTTCATCCTGATTTAAAATATATTTAAAAATTGCGAACGGTTTCACACAGATTCTTTCCTTCCTGCGCCGTGGCCGTCGTCCGGGTGGCCCAGTCCCATGCGGCACGCGGTTTGCGTACTGCGGGCCATGCCCAATTCCCGATGTTCCCAGTTCTAACTACCACTAACCAAGATGACTGAGTCTTTATCTATTTGTTATTGTAAAAAATGATAAATAGTCAAACACAATATTAAAAGCATATTTTGCTCTCCACATTTCTCCCGTTAAAACTTTCAGTAGAAAATTATTTTTTTTTGCCGCAAAAAATAAGTACACAATTTTATATAGCTTACAAAATGAAAATAAGCACACGCATCGTTATTGACGCATGCATATGCCATACGCGAGTATCACTTCCCTGCTACTTAGATACAACGAAGGTTAAAGCGCCTGAAAGATCCAAGAGACCACACACAAATTAACTGCTACATGTACATTGGGGCACACGTGTATTGATAATTAGCTATTGGCGTGGGGAACGAAATTATCGATTTGGTCGACAGCAAGGCGTTGTAGTTTGATGCGATTTCTATAATTTCGAGTGCACGGAGTGTGCGGCATAAGATTAATTTACCTTAAGACGGATCACAATACTACTCAGCACCTTCCAATATAAAAGGTAGTGTCAGAGCATTAGAGAATAATTTTCACATCATACAAATTATTGGAAATAGACGTACATTATAAACAAAGTCGCCAAGATGCATGCTTCCATGCTGGTCGTGGTGGGTGCTTTGGCGTCACTAAACGCAGTGGTGGTGAATGCCGACACAATTAAAGTTAAAGCAGGCCAACAAAACGTCAACTCTATCTCCAAAGCTATTCGCACAGCCCCGGCTGACTCGGTACTTGAATTATATGAGGGTGACTATTACCAAACAGACATGTTGGTCATAGACAAACCTCTGATGATACAAGGTGCGGGGAAGGAGCTCACACGCATCCATTTAAATAGTCTCACAGTACCTGTGCTGCTATATGCAACCACATTCAATTCGGTATTAACGGACTTCTCCATCGTAGATTCACTACCAGAGAACCCCACCACCTGTGCACCGGTTGACACCCTGCCATCCGAACAGTTAGAGATATTCGATCCTCCTAGCACAGCCTTGTTGGACGGTACGTTGCGAATCACGGGTACTCTCGGTCAGTGGCCCAACATGTTCACAGCCACGCATATGGGGGTAGGAGACTGTGACTATGGGGTCGGCAGCGAGCATTTGAGCCGCCCATTCTTTGAACTTGTGAGTAATACTTGCGAGTACAATTTTGGTATCAGTGTGCAACGCCAGAGCCTCGATGCGTGTGGTGTACAGGTTACTCAGGAGGGCAATGGCACTGTATCAACGTACGGAGGTGTCGTGCAGATTAAGACAGTCGCTATGGTTAACAGCTTGCCCACAACAACAACTCACATCGGTGTATTAGAAGCGGAGTTTAGTGAGAATGGTAACGGTGGTAGTGTTGCCAGCGAGGATACCCATGTGCGTGCAGTACTGACTCTCATAGAACTGGGCGAAGTGAACGAGAACACCTCCTACATTGAGTTATCGCTCACTATGCCCTCTGAATTCCATGTGCCAAGCAACGCCACTGGGCCAGTAGATGCGGCTATGCGTCTGGATGACGAGCTCTCTACTACGGCATGGTTTCCGATATCCGAGTGTGCGGCATTCGATGGAAGTAGTGAGGAAGGTAGTAACGCCACCTACTGTAGGCAAACAATCGGATTTCAAGTAACCGCATGTGACGTATCTGCTCACTATCATATCGATGAGCTGCCCGTGGAGTGCAAAGACGCCGCGGTGTGTGGTGCCGACCCTGGGTACAAGGCGTCGCTGAACTTCGTTGTAGATGCCACGCAGCTGTGTGCTGCCAGTGAAAGTGCAGATATTGAGCTTAATTTGCCCATCGAGTCAATTGTCACGGAAATGCGGAGCTCGGACTTCGAACACGCACTCGGCGCCACGGGTTTGATTATGGGCAAGACATCCTACTGGATGATCGAGATGGATACTGGCACAACCGGACTTATCATCGATCAGGCGGAGCTTGTGGCCATTAGTCGTAATGTTACTGGCCGTGACTGCACACCGTACGAGTTTTATAGGAACGTCGGCACTATCGCGCAGAGATATCTGCCCCCTATCGGCGAGGCCAAGGGCCGCTTGCAGATCGAGCTGCCTGTGGACCAAGCCATGGCATGTGATGATGGCTCAGAGGTTCTGGCAGACAGTGACGTGGCCCTCACCTTCACTTATCTCGTATCCTACCAAGACTACGTTGTTGAGGAAGGTGCCGAAGAAGCACTAGACGAAGAGTTGTCGGTGGCAGACCGTAGACGCAGTGAACGTTCACGCAGAGAGTCGGGGCAATTAAGCGCCGAGGCTGTGACGCATGTCAGGCGTGCGGCTGCCAAGCAGGTATTCGCCGCACCCAAAATTCAACTGGTAGGAGAAACACCTGTGATGTTCGAGATGGACTCTGCTGATACGGTGTCTGTGGTTGCGGGTATGTCGGCCTTACTGTTGATCGCAGGGTTGACTGGGGCTGGGCTGTGGTATGGGTTCAAGAAGATTGCCGAGAAAAGCAAGACTCTCAAGGCTCAGAAGTACGAGAACATTGGGGATTACCAGGATGCTCGCGGTGATGAGAATTTCTCGAGTATGTATGAGTACAATAATGCATACCAGCGCGATGGAAACGGTGAGGACATGACTGAAGTTTTACCGAACCGACCATCGTTCTTCGATGGTGGGTCTCAGTACGACTCAAACAGCAGCAGCAAGAACAAGGGTGCTGCTACTTCGTTATAAGTGGCATGAAGGTAGAGACGAGAGCGATGCGAATGCGTATTCTCAAATGTATATGCATATGACTATATCTAATACGGAAGCATGTATATATATATATATATATAGTCTCGTATCTATATATGCTTCACGCATGCGATATGTATTTATCGGAAGCTTTCTGATTTCGGGGCATAAGGGGAGGAGCGGCGTATTATACGCACCATGAAGAACGGTTATTTGCATACGTAAGCATCTCACTGATAGGTTTAGCCGTTGTAACCTATTTGTCGGCGTCTGTGGGTATGAGTATCTGTTATTGAGCTCTGAAGCGCTTGGCTTCAGCTGCCTCGGAGTTCGTATTCTGCGTGGAGTATGTCGTCTGTAAGGATATCTCATCCGTGATTTGTGTTGTCCCGCTGCGACGCAAATGACAAAGTTCGCGTTGTTCTTAGTCTGTGTATATAGTGTATGGCTGCCTGTAGTAAACCGACTACAGACGACACTCCACAATGGCTCGTAGAGCATCTGGTGATTGTAAATTTTAAAAATAAACTAAGTAGAATAGAGTTTGAACGTTCGATTCTCAACCAATGAGCCCAACCTCAGTGACTAATATATTGAGGATCGCATTTGTACACATGTCATTGGTTCATCATCTGCAGCATCATAGTCTGTCTAGTTTGTGGCGAATCATTTTTTATAAATGGCGAAATACCGAACTGGCATCATCGCCGACCATGTCCGAAATGTGGTTTCAAGTTCAACGGATACATTGAACAGCGTGCAGTCCTATGTCTCACATAGTGAGATTGAAGGTGTCGGGTTGATTATCGAGCAATATACGCCTGACGGGTTCTTTGTGGGTATTTAATGATGTGCCATACTTCCAGCTGGGTGTGCTTTGCGCTCAATTGACTACCAACCCCTACAACCGTACGTTTAGTGAAAGGCTACCAATGTGGTAAACGAGTAGCAACCGACATTTGCGCAGCACTTTTGCTACCAGGTTGTCCGATGTGATGTGTGTGTACATTCCTTTGAAGCGCACGTTAACCCGTAGAATACGGTACGCACGAAGTATCGGCACCAATTGTCATGCTGCATCACAACGATGCGCGTGTACGGGAGCGTCCTACGTACATCGGATATCAGCACACCAATAAAGCACTCGTGTGGGGCCGAAATTTGTATGAACTTTATTTCTACTATCTACTTGGCTACTGGTACAGCTGAATCAGCTGATCACTCACCGCGGAGGGCGTGAGCACGCCGAGATCGGTGAAGAGCAGTTGTATATACTGGGGCGGTGTGTAGTCGATTAACGGAGAGTACGTCTGGTGCGGCCGCAGGAATTTTGGGACAAAAATTAGGGACCATGTGTTTTTAAATAGTCAGATAAACAGTCGGAATCGCATAGTGGTTTATCTAGCACGAGAGTTGAATGCTTGTGGGAGTAGAGGGACGATCGCTTACTTAGAAATAATACAGAAAGGAGTGGGGTCAAAGTAGAAGTGTAGACACAACTGTGTCACGTGAATGTAATAACAAGTGACCTGCGTGAAACATACTCGACTAATGGCACCGACAGCAGCACAAACTAACAATAAAATGAAGCGGGTTTCAATCAATACGCACTCCGAACGACTCAACGTCATCCGGTATACTCTGTAGAATAACTTTACCGAAAACAACAAGCAACGATTATTCACAGCAACGGATATTGAAGATACAACAGGCATGGCTGCCTAATACACAGAAACGGATATTGAAGCTACAGGCTTAAGTGCCTTACAGTATCATAGTGATACTAGACGTAGACGGGTCAGTCGCCCAGCAATACCAGGACGACGGGCTTACCTGCATTGCTATTGAACCTCCGCCAAATTTCGGATTTAACAGTTTCTTTAAACTCTCTACATTAGCTCCCAAAGGGATATCACCTTGCGACAAAGGGAATTTCCTGTCATGCGAGCGGGATGAAAGTGAAAAAGATCAGGCTCGTGCTAATTATATTTATACATATGTAAATATATATATATCATATATATATATATATTTACATATGTATTAATATATACATACATACATATATACATACATACATACATATACATGCATTCATACATACATACATACATACATACATACATACATACATACATACATACATACATACATACATACATACATACATACATACATATATATGT